TACTGGAGCCGATGATCCAGCCCGAGCCTCTCAGCCGGCGCCGAGATGACGCTGCGCAGCGCCGAGACCTCGTCGAGACCAAAGTGGTGTGCCTGGGCAGCCTGGTTGAGGATGCGGCGCGAGTCCGTCACGGGATGGTCCGACTTGTAGATGGGCGTCACATTGTGCGCTGCCAGGATGGCGCCGGTGAAGGGCGTGCCAAAGTACGCCTCGAGCTTGTAGTTGGCGTTGGTGGAGAAGATGGCGATGGCGGGGGTGACGTTGCCGTACGTCTGCTTGAGCAGGTCCGGCACGAGGTACGATTCGTGAGCGTGGTGGAACGCCGCGACGGGGAACTGGAACTCGTTCGAGTGGCGCACAAACGCCTCAAAGTCGACCTGGGTGTAGCAGTGCGTGTTGAGCTTGACCTTGCCGCGCAGCAGTGCGACGAGCGCCTCGAGCTCGAGGTCGTCTGGGAACTCGGCGTCGGCCAGCGTCGCGGGCGCAGCACCGGCTCCGTGGAGCGACGAGAAGGACCGGGCAGAGTCGCAGAATGCGTCCTGCTTGTTCTTGAGCTCGCGCGCGGCGGCAAACGTGCGGCGGAAGTCCCACGCCTCGTCGAAGCGCGTCATCTTGTACACGCGACGCGCATTCTCGCCACAAGCCATCTTCATGTATCTCCAGCTGGAGCTGCTATCGTTGCGCGCCAGACCCGTCTCGGCGTCGAAGCTGGCCGCGCTGTTCGCTTTGCCCTGACCGAGCGGAGCAAGCGAGGTGGGAGGCTCGATGAGACGGTCCTGCGGGAGGTGCGATGAGGGCTGACGGTACTTGATGGGGAATGCCTGACCGCCCATCGAGTTCGCCGAGCCGGGTAGCACGAGGCCGGTGGTGATGCCGCCTGCGAGCGACTTGCGGAACGAGACGTCGTGCTGGTTCATGCCGTCGATGGTGCGCAGGTACGGATTGGTATTCTTGCCGATGCTGTTGACATCGTCGTGGCCCGGAAGTGCAGGTAGTGCACCGACAGACAGATGCACATGCATGTCAACCAGACCGGGCGTGACCCACCTTCCCGCGGCGTCGATTACCTTGGCGCTGGCGCTGGCAAACTCGTTGTTGGCGGTCTTGCTGATGCGTTTGATGATGCCGTTGGACAGCAAGATGTCGCGGGCTTCGAGCACCTCGTTTCCGCCATTGAGGCCGGTCCACACGGTGGCGTTGCGGATGAGGACGTCCTGCTGTGCGGGTTCGGCGCGCTCGGAGCGCGTGCGCTGGTGGAACTGCGCCGGCGCACCCACGGGAGCTGCAACCGCATCGCACTTTGCCAGCGCAGCCGCAAAGACGCTCTGAACGTGAGGATGAGCGGTGGGCTGGTAGACGTGGTGCTCGTTTGCGCCGAAGGTCGTCAGCGCGCCGAGATAGTACACGAGCGCAACGAGGCCGAGCAGCGAGATGAACGACGTGCGCAGCGCCACCGGGCGCGGCTTGCGAGCTCGACGCTCGGCCACGGACGCATAGCTAGGCAGCGAATCGTGGGCGGACTTGCCGCAGTGGTCCGACATTTTGGAGGTGATGGTGTTGAACCAAGATGGCGGCGCGTCCCACGACGCATTCAGGAGGGATCGCACCGGCAATGCATTCAGATGAAGAATGCCCGGATCGCTGTATGCGCGAAGGAGCGGAGCTGGTGCTTCCGACGTTCGCTCGTGTGGGCCGTGCATCATTCGCTCGCACGCATTTTCACAATTCTCCGCCAGACCCTGGCGTGCTCCTTGACTCGCACTCGGCAACCAGCACGGCCAATTCGCAACAGTGCTCCTCGGCGAATCGTATCAAAAGAGGCATTTCCCAAGATCGAAAAGAAGGGTAGTGTACAGGGATATAGAGACATAGGGCAATACTCAGTGGTGCTTGTCGACCACCGCCGTGGCCGAGAGCTCGTTGTCGACGGCAGCAATCTCTTCGGCGCGGCCCGGCACGGTGACCTCCTGGAGGGGATCGGTGTGCTCTGTGACACGCAGCGCAATGACGGGGATGATGAAGATCATTCCGGCCGCACACAGGCCCCACGTGACGGCGAGGTTGGTCATGAAGGGATGCTTGTCGTTGTCCATGGCAAACGCGCCTGCCGCACCCGCCGACTGCATCGACTTGTAGAATCCCGCGAGGTAACCGAGCTTGGACAGATCGTTGGAGCAAGCGCCGATGAGCCAGTATGCGAGGTTCTGCCAGATGGCATCGAGCACGCCCGAGAAGATGTAGAGGAAGACGTAGCCGACGTACTTGCCGCCGTCCTTGAAGTCGATGCGCTTGGTCTCGGCGTCGATGGAGGCACGCGTGTAGGTCCTTTGGACGTCGTACGAGCCGCCCCATACGGCCCACATGACGACAAAGACGACGGACCAGCCGATCCAGGCGCGCGACCTGCGCGACATGCGCTTGTTGTCGAGGATCTGGCCGATGGCGAGACTGCCGACCATCTGGCTGAGCCAGTAGAGAAGGTTGTTGAGCGAGCGAGTGCGCAGCGTAAAGAGGACGCCGTTGTAGTCGTTGAACTGCCAGGTGTAGAACCAGTTGGAGGCGAGGAACATGGGGAACATGAGCACCACCCAGGGGTCGGCCTTGAGCAGGATAAAGAGACCCTTGAGCTCCTTGGCCCAGGTGGTCTGGCTGGGGACGAGCACGCGCGTGCCATCATCTCGGACCATCTTGGCCGGGTTCATGAGCATGGCCGAGACAAAGGCACCGAGGCCTGTGAGCACGATGAAGGCAGCATAGGTGCCGTTGGAAACCGTGTTGGCGGTCGAGTTGTAGGTGAGGCCGAGCTCGATGGCAGAGCCGAGTACGGCGCCCAGATTGAAAATGATCCAGAAGACGCTGATGAAGGTGCCCTTTTGGGATTCGGTGGGGTAGGCGAGCATGAGAGCGCCTTGGGCAGTCCAGAGCAGCGAAGCGCACACACCTAGGATGGCGCCGGAAGCTACAACGAAGCCCTCGTTCTGGTTGATGTTGTAGGACAGGAAGGAACCGATGTAGAGGCAGTAGCCGAGTGCGCCAATGCCGAGAGTAAGCCGCGATCCGAGCTTGTTGTGGATCGTACCGGCAAAGAAGGAGACCGCGGCGAAGGTCGAGTAAAGCGCAATGGCGGCCTTGTTGGAGGCTTCCGAATTGACCTGTCCTCCGCCACCTATGCCACTGACTGCGTTGAACATGCCGGGGCATAGGAAGCAGACCATTCCGACAAGAGCGACCTGTACAACAGGCATGGCGTATACCCGTTTGAACGGATTCGAAGATCGCTCGACGGGAACGACCTCAGCGAGCGTGGTCGTGTGGAGGGGGTCGGCGGCGGCATGCTTGGGGCCCGAAGAGCTGCTGGAGGCAGCGTCCGAGTGCTTCTCGTCCGTCATTTTGTGGGTTAGGGGCGAGTAGTAGGGCGGGTGTTGTGGGGAGCGAGATATGAGGAGGGTCGGGCGGAACTGACTTTATATGGGTGAAATGCCAGGGCGAAATCGCGTGACCATATTCGGAAGCGGGAGAGGCAGAGCTAAGAGAGAGGGCGATAAGCTCGGGCCGTATGCCGGTGCAAGGCGAGACGAGCTGGAGAGAGTTGAGGGTTGAGGAGCGCGGGGTGGTGCGGGGTGGATGTGCGCGGCGGGGTGCGGCGGTTTCGTGGTGATGATTGGACAATGAGCTGGGAAACAAAGTCAGGAGCGGGCCGAGGTTGATGTCGAGCAAGTCGAAGCCGATAGTCTAGGGTGTGGTTGGTGGGGCGGAGCAAGGGAGCTGGGGCGGGCTGATGAGGAGATACGATGTCGAGGCGGAGGGGTCGCACAAGACTCGCGTGGGTATGCACAGAGGCGTGCAGAGGCCGCAGTCGCAGTTGTCGGGCTTGATCGGCGGGGCTCCGAGAGCGACTGGGCGCGTTCGAGCGAAACAACTGCCAGAGAGTCGGCACTCGCTATCGACAGTCCCGTTGCAATGGAAGCTGTTCAGTCACTCTTTACGCCGCCACCTCTCGTTTGCCAGCAGATCCGAGATTGCGCTGCAAGCTGCAGCAACACACA